CCTCCTCCAAAACTCCAGCCCCAAGATCTACATCGACCAAAAGGTGTGGCAGAGCGCGAGAATCAGAGTGCCAATTACACCAAACCCCACCCTCCTCTTGCCCCTCCTCCAGTTCCTACTCCTGCTGTGACCCCAATACACAACGGTACGGCTCCTAAGCAATCTTCAGCACACCAAACGGCATTGCCAGCTAGTAAATTGCCAATACTTCCACGTTCCGCTGGAGCTGCAGATTCGTCACTGGCCCAGTCATCAGGAGATGATACCCTGTACAGAATTGGATCCGATGACGACTCAATGTTTGCCGACATATCCTTTGATGAGATTAGTGGTGTCGATTTTGCGGATAGATCACGCATCCTCCCACCTACTATATCCAATTTTGATCCAGCCCCTGGTGCTAAACCTTCTGGTGAAGTCCAGGCACTTCCAGAACCGCCCCGACCAGCACCTTCCATAAACCCACAACCAATGCCTGTTGAACCGATGCCTCGTGATGCGAAAGCCCAACCAGCCACAACCAAGCAGAAGAATTCAAGCACCATGGCAAGCGTGCTTGCTGGTCTTGCGGATCTCGATTCATTGTCGCAACCACTCTCCTCATCACCTTCATTGAAATCGCGAACGCCGTCTGGTGGCGGGTTCGTCATACCTCCCGGAGTCGCACGTCCTCAACGGCCCATATTACCCACCAGCAACAACAGCAAGTCATCGAGTGGCATAGGAACAAAACGTCCAGTAGACGCATTGAACTCGAGTACATTGGGAAAGAATGGTCCTACATATCCTGAGAGTTCTACTGCCCGAAACGTTCTCGCCGAACTAGAGCTGTCGACCAATGGGATAGTCAAACGGCCTCGGATAAGCTAGGGACTATGGGTTTCATGTCTTCGCGTCCCCTCTGTGTGTAGTATTACCTAGATGTATTATCCATCGAGCCATTGTCCGCGTAGTGTCGCTTGGTATAATTTAGTGCAGCAAGACAAGTAAAAGCATGACCTCACCTTTCAAAGCATTTATATTAAATTTTATCATCTTTTCTGAAATCAATGGGTCTTGTGGTGCAATGGTAGCATATCACACTTCTACGGAGATCATGTGAGGGTTGTGGGTTCGAGTCCCGCCAGGACCTATTTTACATTCTTCTACAGCTGCTGCAAGGCGTTTTGGTCTGCTTTCGTTTTTTTGAATCGATAGTATGCAAACAGTTTATAGAGGCTTTGTTAAAAGCTTCTTGTATGGTGTTTCCGGGGCGTTCTATTGTTTATGAATGAAACCAAACACCAGAATCAATAATCAGAAAAATAAGAGTACAGGTCATAGTCCTATGATCCATGAAGTTACGTGTGATCCAGTGCGACTGAGCTTGCCATGCAAAACAGATAACCGGGAATTTAACGAGACGAAGATATCCTAGACCGAGAAAATAAAAAAATCGGCTTGATATTCTCGTCAGTCAAACAAACAAAACACACGATTGGGAAGTTTGACTTACGTTCTCACTTTCCTTGTTTCCGCAGTTCGACCCGCAGTTGATCGCGTAGCTTGGAATTCTCTCCTTGCACATGATTCAATTCTTCCAGTAGAGCGGCCTTTTGGCCCTGCTCTGAGCTGCGCAAGGCCTCTACCTCTTCCATTGACTCTTTGAGCTGGCTACGAACTTCGTTGAGTTGTGCCTCCAATTTGATCCTCATGGATTCCGGAGCGGTGGAGACTTCTTCTGCCAGCGCAAGAGTGCGAGCGCTCAGCACGGTATTTGCGTCTGACATACTCCGCAACGCTACTTTCTGTTCTGTAAGTTGGATATCCAACTGCCGTTTCTCCTTTTGTGTTCGCTCTACATTAGCTTGGAGATTGTTGATTTCGTCAAGTCTAGAATTGGAGCCGTCATGAGCCATCGTGCTGCAATAATAATAATCAACTCACAAATCATTCTGTTTCGTTATGAGGGTCGTATTTCTCTCCTCCAGCGACTTGACCTGCTTCTGATATGTTTCCAAGCCCATTGAGCTCTCCTGAGCAAGCTTCTGGGCCCTGGCTGCATTATTCTTGAGCAGTTCATGGGATTGAGCGAAACGTAAGAGACGTTCGATGATCGCGCGATCATCTGTCACGAGAGCTTGCACCCGTTGAGAGAATGCGTCAATGGAAAAGTCGACTGGGCTAGATAGTTGACTAAAGAGGGGTGATTGCCCGTTATTCCGCGGGTCATAAAGGGCCTTGAGTGCCCGAACATCGAGATCCGCAAGAGATGGTGATGGGGGCTCTCCGAGTCTCGAGGCCATTGATCGTAGCGGGGATGTGGGCGACGGAGAGCGAGCTGTGGATTTGGCGGCGGCACGTGCTTCTCGGGATGGTAACAGTGACCAGAGGCTCCGTAGAGTGGTCATTACACGATCAATCTCTTCCGAATTGCGACTACCGTTGGAGCTACCCGGATCGCTTCCTATCGAGTTGCTCTTCGAAGGGACGGGTCTCTCATTGTTCTGAACAAAAGATAAGGATGGCGTGAGAATGAAGGTCGTTTTACACTCACCTTAAGACGCTCTTCTAATGACCTTACTTCTCTCCTCGCAGTTTCAGCCTCCCTTCGCGTGTCTTCCAGCTCTTGTGAGAGTCTTTCTCTTCTTTCGAGGCTTGCTTTGAGCTCTGATTCCATGCGCCGTTTCGCTAACTCCCACTCGTCCTTTTCCAACTCTCGCATGCGAACATCGTCATTGATAGAGTCGAGATGCATGCTTGTTGCAGTGATCAGCGACATGAGGGACATATCTCGCCGCTGGGACGCCGAAAGGGTGATGCCATGTGTCTTGATCAACGCTTGTAGGCGCTCTGACGCCATATCAAGCTCGACATCCGCATTCTGCTTATGCTCAGGAATAGAATTCTTGGCGTGTTCCTCCTCCAACTCTTCCCGCAACCTCTCTATCTCCTCCCTTTTGTGCTCTTCCCAAACTTGGCGATCCTCTTCATGATCTTGTCGCTCTTGATCTAACACGTCCCTCAGCCTTCGGATTTCTGTCTCCTTCCGATCGAGCTCGTCTCTCATTTCGGCTTCTGCTTCCTTCTCCTCTAGCGCTTGTTCCAATTGAGCTTTCTCGTCTTCCCATTTCCGCTTCTCGTCCTCCAGCACGCGTAGTTTTTTGCTCGAAGAGCTCATCCGCTGAAGTTCCGTCCGTAAGTCGGATATTGTATCATCGGCCTCTTGCATCTTCTTGCTCAAATCCTCCGTCGCGAGTTGGTTCTCCCGTCGCAGGTTCTCCGCCTCTTGTCGCAGTGCCTCCTCTTCCTCCTTGGATTCCTTCAAAGCCTTCTCCGCACTGGCGAGCTGCTCCTCCATCGCAGCCACCTGTGCGGAGGATTTAGTGGACTTTTGCGAGTAAGGCGATTTGGAATTAGCATGCCCAGCAAAGAAGTGGGCACCCTCAAATTTCTGACGATGGGATAAAGACATGTTTGTGACAGCAGAGGTCGGACTGAGGTCGCCGCCATAGGTACTCATATTAGCAGCTTGATTCGCGGGGGTGGTTCGACCAGACGAGCCGTCGTGGCTCTCTCCCTGTGGCTTGAGCATCGATTCCAACCGATTGAGAGAATAGCTCAGCACAGCGGACCGGTGTTCGAGTAATTGTCTCTGGACCTCGTTGTAACGCTCGACTTGTTTTGATAATTCCATTTGTGCATTATGGACTTTCACATTGGCAGCTTCCAAAGCGGGCGAAGGCGAGAGTCCGTTAGCACCTTTGGAATCGGCTCTCCGGTGCGCGGATTGCACTTTATCCAGGGACAGGGCAGCATCACGGAGCTTCGTCTCCAATGTCACCTTTTTTGTGGCAGCGGCGACTCGACCCGAAAGAATGTTAAGTTCCTGATGATCCAAAAACGTCGATCTTAGCAGCTGTCAACGCATAGCAGAAATAGGATACATACCCTTTTTAGCTCTTCTAACTGTTCCGTTCCAAGTATTTCATAGTTTCGACTATCAACGACAGCCTCGCTTGCGAGGAGTTCGATGATCAGCTCGTCCTTAGGCTTCGTGACTGCAGGTAGATTGGGGAGCGGAGGGGAGGCGGTTCCGTTAGCAAGCTTTCTGGAAAAACTCGAAAGTGCCTTAGAATGTCCTGGGCGATGTTTTTTGGATGCACCGGTACGAACAGACTGTGAGTTGACGGAATGGACGGAATTCGTTCGTCGACTGGCGGACCGCTCGTCGTCGGGGGACAATGGAACAGAGTTCTGTCTGTTTGGAGGACGATTTATGTTGGTTATAGATGGATTCATGGATAGTTTTGGAGGAGGAGGCGGAGAAGGCGTGCGAGTTGGACGCTGGGTGCCCATAGCTAGGTTTGGAGATGGAAAACCGGACGATGCAGATAGCTGAGGTGTCCAGGTTGTGCTCGAAGTTGGTTCGTAGGACGCATAAGATGTCTCGATTGCTGTCGTAGATGTGCCGGTCGTCGCAGCGCCAAACAGGCGGCGTACATTGTTCATCTGGACGATGAGCCGTAACCCTTAGATATTAAAGAGAGAATTTTTGTGAACTTTGTGCAGGAAGGGCCAGCCACCCAAGTCGTAGTTTGGTCCAAACTTGATTTGGCCGGCGTCCCTTGTCTTTTCTGTGTCATATCGGTGGTGTCAGTGCGCTCTGCCTTGGAGCGGTGCATATTGGGGAGTTCAGAGCCTCTACCACCACTATTGGTCCAGATATTATTCCGGGAATGTTCTGCCCTCCAATACTGGGATTTACAGCTGAAACACCCTTGACCCACCGACTACCGACCACCGACCACCGGATATTGCCTTGACTGTCTCAAACGTAGAGCGCTCCCTGCAATGCACTATACGTT